TATATAAAGAGAAGAATAAATGATCAAATGGATGTGTTTAAAGGATTAAACTATAATATATTATTATTAATATATAAAGAGAAGAATAAATGATCAAATGGATGTGTTTAAAGGATTAAACTATAATATATTATTATTAATATATAAAGAGAAGAATAAATGATCAAATGGATGTGTTTAAAGGATTAAACTATAATATATTATTATTAATATATAAAGAGAAGAATAAATGATCAAATGGATGTGTTTAATAGATTACAACTATAACAAGTATAAATCAGATTATTAAAATATTACAGGAACCTAAAATCTCAAGTTGAAATTCAAATGGTATAAAATAGATGATAAATATTTTTTTCTACAAATAGCAAAAATAAACATCTAAAATATATCATCTAAATAGATATTTATAAAACCAACCTTTCCAGTTATAATCTGTCCTGTAACTTTATTGGTGCTTTCTAACACTATTCCAATAACAAGATGAGATCTGGAGCTTTCATCATTCATTTCTACAAACATCAAAAAAATTAACTTTAAAGTTGTCAAAACAATAAATAAATATAACAATCAAGTGTCATTTGAAAGATCACATTAAATAACAGAGCATATTTTCTCTGAGTTATAATGTCACTTATAATAAACAGAACATTAAATAAATAGAATATTTTCTCAGAGTTATATTGTCACTTATAATAAACAGAACATTAAATAAATAGAATATTTTCTCTGAGTCATACTGTCACTTATAATAAACAGAACATTAAATAAATAGAATATTTTCTCTGATTTATACTGTCAGTTATAATAAACAGAACATTAAATAAATAGAATATTTTCTCAGAGTTATATTGTCACTTATAATAAACAGAACATTAAATAAATAGAATATTTTCTCTGAGTTATATTGTCACTTATAATAAACAGAACATTAAATAAATAGAATATTTTCTCTGATTTATACTGTCAGTTATAATAAACAGAACATTAAATAAATAGAATATTTTCTCTGATTTATACTGTCAGTTATAATAAACAGAACATTAAATAAATAGAATATTTTCTCTGAGTTATATTGTCACTTATAATAAACAGAACATTAAATAAATAGAATATTTTCTCTGAGTTATATTGTCACTTATAATAAACAGAACATTAAATAAATAGAATATTTTCTCTGAGTCATACTGTCACTTATAATAAACAGAACATTAAATAAATAGAATATTTTCTCTGAGTTATATTGTCAGTTATAATAAACAGAACATTAAATAAATAGAATATTTTCTCTGAGTTATATTGTCACTTATAATAAACAGAACATTAAATAAATAGAATATTTTCTCTGAGTCATACTGTCACTTATAATAAACAGAACATTAAATAAATAGAATATTTTCTCTGATTTATACTGTCACTTATAATAAACAGAACATTAAATAAATAGAATATTTTCTCAGAGTTATATTGTCACTTATAATAAACAGAACATTAAATAAATAGAATATTTTCTCTGAGTTATATTGTCACTTATAATAAACAGAACATTAAATAAATAGAATATTTTCTCAGAGTTATATTGTCACTTATAATAAACAGACCATTAAATAAATAGAATATTTTCTCTGATTCATATTGTCACTTATAATAAACAGAACATTAAATAAATAGAATATTTTCTCTGAGCTATATTGTCACTTATAATAAACAGAACATTAAATAAATAGAATATTTTCTCTGAGTTATATTGTCACTTATAATAAACAGAACATTAAATAAATAGAATATTTTCTCTGATTTATATTGTCACTTATAATAAACAGAACATTAAATAAATAGAATATTTTCTCTGAGTTATATTGTCACTTATAATAAACAGAACATTAAATAAATAGAATATTTTCTCTGATTTATATTGTCACTTATAATAAACAGAACATTAAATAAATAGAATATTTTCTCTGAGTTTATCATGAATATAGACCAGAGATCATTACTAGTACTTTCATCAACCGAACTTCTCAATCTTTTGTAGAATACTATATAGTCTGAAGATTGTAAATTCTCCAAAAACAAATGCACAGAATTGCAACCTTCGTTCATTTTAAAGGGCAAAATACAAAATCAATTAAAAGAATTGAGACAAATGAATGAGAACTTACTGGTAGAAGCTACGTGTCTATTTTTAGAACCCTCTTCAAACAGAGCGAATAGCTCTTTAGCATTGGAGGCTTTTTTAAGCACCGAACCTTGTATGACCACCATTCCTTTCTTATCTTTCTTTATATCTAGACGGTCCTAGAAAATACACCATCTTCTATACCTTGACATCATTAGACACTTAGAATAAAGTCCATTGTAAATCTGAACATAAATACCGTAATGTTTACAGACTTTCTGTCAAGGCCTCTGATTGGCTATATTCGCTATTATACCATCCAATCAGATCATTGCAAGGAAAGTGTCTAATGGTGTCAAGGTATAAGACAAAGTTTGTAATAGCTTGACATTGTGAAGATGTATCTCATTGGGCTAATGAAATGTAGTTTTCACCCTACAGTTTAATAAGTTCACTTGCTGTCCAAATACATTATAGTTTAGTTATTTTAAACAGAATCTCTGTTTCTCTTAACTAAACACTGTTAAAATATGTGATGGTTTCATGTTTAAATTACCTAACTAAATCTAGCCTTCATAAATTCAACCTCTCTTACTTACCTCTTGATAAACCTTCCAAAATGATAGCAAGCAAGATAAAAATGAAAGAAATGTAAAATAACAAGAGGTTAAATATAGCCAGAAACCAGTTAAATTTCAATTGTCAAAAATATTTATACTAGATTACAAACCGCCTCATTAGACAAACTGGTATTTTTCCAAGTCATTAGAACACCTCTACGTTCTATTCATATAAATATTAGCATTTTCATACATGAAAATAAGGGAACCCATCTTTAATATGTCCCCTGATTATATATAATGACTCATTATATCAAAAGATATGTAAAAGAAATTTAAAGAAGTTACCTCCTCGGAGCCAGATTTAGCGAATAAATCAATGAGTCTTTCATTGTATAATTCTAACATATACGTTGATACTTTCATCTCAAATTTACTCCTGTAATAGATAGTACAAATATTAACTTTACATAGTATAATACTTGATACCTCAACCAGTGCTTTCATAGGATATTATCTCTTAAATATAGATATATTATAACAGAAAGCAAGGTATAATACTTGATACCTAGACCAGTGCTTTTATAAAGGTATCATATCTAATCAATAAGAGCAGAGCTCATCGTGTCTTGTTAATATATTTTGGAGGAATATAAAAAGAAAGCGATGTTCTCTAGTATTAATACGTGTATCAGGAACACCTTGCACCATTTTGATTTCTGTAATTCCTGCAATTCCAACAACAGCCCAATAGGATATAAGGAAGATGTTAAATCTGTTGTGAAACTGAGAACAGTATTGTTGTGTAATAAATAATTGATTCCAATAGCCGTTATATCTCAACATGTCATTTGAATCTTGTCAGTTAGACTCGCGGGAGTTTTGTCTTAGTATGTAGAATTTGAAATCCATGAAACTGACTGTTTTTTTTGTAACTCAATGATATATTCATTGAAAACTATATAAAAATGAAACAGAAACAAAACTTACTTATTTTCCTCAGCAAGTTGAAAGATACGTTGAAAAGCTCGCGGCGCTATCCCAGGGTACTGTTGGCTTCGGTCTCCAATCATAGTGAATGTTTTACCAGAACCCGTCTGACCATACGCAAACATACACACGTTATACCCATCTACTGCCGACTGGATCAAATTCTACAATTAACACAAATATTGATAAAATACCCAATGAAATGGAGTTTTACATCCTTTCCTTCTGCTTCAAAATTAAAATAAAGGATACCAGCTTTCATATGATAGCGGATAAAAATAGCGGTTATAAGTTTTGAAGTCAATTCTCATGTAACTGAGTTGTGAATTGCGTTTGGAATTCATGACCACTTTTATTATTCACAACTATATACAAGTAGTAATCACTATAGTAATCACTATAGTATGATGATATCTAGTAATCACTATAGTGTGATGGTATATAGTAATCACTATAGTGTGATGGTATCTAGTAATCACTATAGTGTGATGGTATATAGCACTATAGTATAATGGTATATAGTAATCACTATAGTGTGATGGTATATAGTAATCACTATAGTGTGATGGTATCTAGTAATCACTATAGTATAATGGTATATAGTAATCACTATAGTGTGATGGTATATAGTAATCACTATAGTGTGATGGTATCTAGTAATCACTATAGTATGATGATATCTAGTAATCACTATAGTGTGATGGTATCTAGTAATCACTATAGTATGATGATATCTAGTAATCACTATAGTATGATGGTATCTAGTAATCACTATAGTGTGATGATATCTAGTAATCACTATAGTATGATGGTATCTAGTAATCACTATAGTATGATGGTATCTAGTAATCACTATAGTATGATGGTATCTAGTAATCACTATAGTATGATGGTATCTAGTAATCACTATAGTGTGATGGTATATAGTAATCACTATAGTATGATGGTATCTAGTAATCACTATAGTCTGATGGTATATAGTAATCACTATAGTATGAAGGTATCTAGTAATCACTATAGTATGATGGTATATACTAATCACTATAGTATGATGGTATATAGTAATCACTATAGTGTGATGGTATCTAGTAATCACTATAGTGTGATGGTATCTAGTAATCACTATGGTGTGATGGAATCTAGTAATCACTATAGTATGATGGTATCTAGTAATCACTATAGTATGATGGTATATAGTAATCACTATAGTGTGATGGTATCTAGTAATCACTATAGTGTGATGGTATCTAGTAATCACTATAGTGTGATGGTATCTAGTAATCACTATAGTATGATGATATCTAGTAATCACTATAGTGTGATGGTATATAGTAATCACTATAGTGTGATGGTATCTAGTAATCACTATAGTATAATGGTATCTAGTAATCACTATAGTGTGATGGTATCTAGTAATCACTATGGTGTGATGGAATCTAGTAATCACTATAGTATGATGGTATCTAGTAATCACTATAGTATGATGATATCTAGTAATCACTATAGTGTGATGGTATCTAGTAATCACTATAGTATGATGGTATCTAGTAATCACTATGGTGTGATGGTATCTAGTAATCACTATAGTATGATGGAATCTAGTAATCACTATAGTGTGATGGTATCTAGTAATCACTATAGTATGATGGTATCTAGTAATCACTATGGTGTGATGGTATCTAGTAATCACTATAGTGTGATGGAATCTAGTAATCACTATAGTGCGATGGTATCTAGTAATCACTATAGTATGATGGTATATAGTAATCACTATGGTGTGATGGTATCTAGTAATCACTATGGTGTGATGGTATCTAGTAATCACTATAGTGTGATGGAATCTAGTAATCACTATAGTGTGATGGTATCTAGTAATCACTATAGTGTGATGGTATCTAGTAATCACTATAGTGTGATGGTATCTAGTAATCACTATAGTGTGATGGTATCTAGTAATCACTATAGTGTGATGATATCTAGTAATCACTATAGTGTGATGGTATCTAGTAATCACTATAGTGTGATGGTATCTAGTAATCACTATAGTGTGATGGTATCTAGTAATCACTATAGTATGATGGTATATAGTAATCACTATGGTGTGATGGTATCTAGTAATCACTATGGGGTGATGGTATCTAGTAATCACTATAGTGTGATGGAATCTAGTAATCACTATAGTGTGATGGTATCTAGTAATCACTATAGTGTGATGGTATCTAGTAATCACTATAGTGTGATGGTATCTAGTAATCACTATAGTGTGATGATATCTAGTAATCACTATAGTGTGATGGTATCTAGTAATCACTATAGTGTGATGGTATCTAGTAATCACTATAGTGTGATGGTATCTAGTAATCACTATAGTATGATGGTATATAGTAATCACTATGGTGTGATGGTATCTAGTAATCACTATGGTGTGATGGTATCTAGTAATCACTATAGTGTGATGGTATCTAGTAATCACTATAGTGTGATGGTATCTAGTAATCACTATAGTGTGATGGTTTCTAGTAATCACTATAGTGTGATGGTATCTAGTAATCACTATAGTGTGATGGAATCTAGTAATCACTATAGTGTGATGGTATCTTGGAGTCTGACCTAAAAATATTCTATATTTTCTACCAACAGATTTGAGAATCTAACTTACATTTGTATCTTCGAAGACTTTCTCCTGTGAACTATCCTCCATAAAAATCTGATCAAACTGGAATTCTTTGACTCCACGACTAGTTGTGATATTTATGGAATACTCGTCAGGGGAGGTAAGTACACTGTGATTTCCCTGAAATAGAAGACTGAAAGGTTTTCTAAACTATTTATGTATATTGAGGGCACTGATAGCATTGAACCGTTCCAATTTTCTATCAGTCAGTGTCTTCAGTTTATTGTCCCATCTAATTTGACTGGATATCTTTCAGATATTATCATTTGAGATGAAAAATCCAAAGGAAGATGGTTCAGGTTGTATTTTTTTAAACACTGTTTCACGATCAATTTTGTTGTTAATACAGTATTGTTCAGTGTGAAATCAAATACTGACGACTTTTTATTTTTCTAAACATTTCCATGAGAATCAGGGGCTAGATGAATCAGACGACTAAAGAAGATGGACAAGGCCATGCAGTCTGCAATGAGGTAAACACTTATCAAAACTAACCCTGCCTTTCTCTGTGTTACTGAGAGGACGAGCTCGACAATAAACTCGAATCTTTCCCTTCATATCTTCTACCATATTATAATACTTCTTACGTAAAACCTACATAAAATAACATAATATAAACAAGTTAAACAACAACATCTAGATTGTTTTCATCTTACACTGTTTAAAACCTTTCTACCATATTATAATACTTCTTACGTAAAACCTACATAAAATAACATAATATAAACAAGTTAAACACACAACATCTAGATTGTTTTCATCTTACACTGTTTAAAACCTTTCTACCATATTATAATACTTCTTACATAAAACCTACATAAAATAACATAATATAAACTAGTTAAACATCAACTAGAACATCTAGATTGTTTTCATCTTACACTGTTTAAAACCTTTCTACCATATTATAATACTTCTTACGTAAAACCTACATAAATTTTCAAAACAGGTTATCAAATCACGTACATACATAATTAACTAGCTATAGAATTGCAGTCAGATTTGTAAGGATTAAGGGGAATAATAGCTTGCTTGTTGAAGTTTTGTTGTGTAAGGAAGGTTCAGATTGTACAGCTATATTAAAAGGCAAACCTAATGATTGATCAGCTGGTGATTTCACTGACTAAATGTGATGACTCGTTTATAATCATGCTTTTGCTGAAGTTTTAGGTTTTTCATTTTTCATACATTGGAATGAGGCTTCTACAAGACTCCAGGGTAATCCAGGTTAACCTCATTTCATCTTATAGTTTACTTCACTGATCTTTGTGACTCGACATTTTCATCTATATTAAACATGAAACAGTTGGAGGTACAAGACAAATGAAAAATAATTACTATTTACCCTTTCACTGTTAAAGTTTTCAGTCAGTATTTTATTCTCACTAATAAGATGTTTATTATCTTGCTCTAGAGACTTCACTTTAACTGCTGCCTCGACCCCTTCCTTCGCGGCCAAACCTAAACTTTCTAACTCTTCCTTTAATTTCTGTATTTCACTGGACTTTATCATATTCTCCTGAAAGATAAGTTATTCAACACCAGATTTAGCTTACTACTTTTAATTTTTCAATATTATGGTCGTCTATTGAGACCAAGGATTATAGTGCTCAATGAGGAAAATTTTGTCTGGATAGTGGCATTACTCTACCCTTCAATTTTAAAGAGTCTAGTTTATACTGGGACACTATTGACAATATTAACCAGGCCAGTAGAATAACTCTATTATAATATTAACCAGGCCAGTAGAATAACTCTATTATAATATTAACCAGGCCAGTAGAATAACTCTATTATAATATTAACCAGGCCAGTAGAATAACTCTATTATAATATTAACCAGGCCAGTAGAATAACTCTATTATAATATTAACCAGGCCAGTAGAATAACTCTATTATAATATTAACCAGGCCAGTAGAATAACTCTATTATAATATTAACCAGGCCAGTAGAATAACTCTATTATAATATTAACCAGGCCAGTAGAATAACTCTATTACAATATTAACCAGGCCAGTAGAATAACTCTATTATAATATTAACCAGGCCAGTAGAATAACTCTATTACAATATTAACCAGGCCAGTAGAATAACTCTATTATAATATTAACCAGGCCAGTAGAATAACTCTAGTCTACCCTTGTCAATTTAAAAGTATCACATGAGCTTCAGAGGACAACTGCATTAGTCTACCTTTATTTTCCAATTATCATTACAGAGCATTTACTAGACTGTTTCAATTTCAAACTGGCCATATCTTTTCAATTTCAACTGTCGACACAAGTACTAGAGATTGCTATGTTTAATGGTAATGAAGAAATTTTGTCAAAAAAGCACCATTAGTTTATTTTATTATAATTTGAAATTTTCAAGGGTTCTGAAAATATGCACAGCCTGCAGTTTTAACTCCCTCATATATCTCTGTTCTGTATATACTGACATGGCAAACAGGGACTTAGACTGCAGTGTGTAACGAGGGAAATTTTGAAACACCGACATGCAAAACTGGGAATTGCAACAGATTGAAATCTAAAAGTGACCAACCTTAATCAATGTTTTAATCTCGTCATCTTTTGTTTTAAGATTTTCTTGATTTTTCTCGTTTTTATTTTTCTCCATTTCCAGTTTCTTTTCTAATTCTTTTAATATTTTCTCGTGACGTTTGGTCTGTTTCTGAAAGAAATAATTAAATTATATCTTTACAGAGATTTGTTCTGATACAAGACTAACGGAGAGGAGTTGATTACTTGATTAACAAATTTCAACCAACTGGAACATAGAGATGTCAGACAGGATAAAGAAATGATGAAGTTATATCTATTTTGAATACTTTTAACTAATCTAAATAATAAATCCCCTTAGCTGTGAAGTCCAACACTACACGAAAATTATTCCTTCAAATATACCTCAAATTAGAAATTTAACTTTCTATTTCTATAGATGTCTTTTCTATATATATAGCAGTTGTCATTTTAACTTTCAAATGTAGATAATTCTGGACACACATGAATTTAAAGGCTCAAATTTCAGCAGTGACCTGTGAACACTATAAATGATTAGTTGAGTTCCTGTTTCTGAGACTAAGGTGTGATGGGTCAAACAGATGCTGAACGTGTTCCTTTAAAAGCTGGCCTAGAAAAATGAAGTTTTAAAACTTACATCAATGGCTGTCGTATCAACATCACTTTTACTGAGTTTTTTAATCTCTGATTCTAGATGTTTTATACGATTATTTAAATCTGTATTTTCACGTTTCGACGTCAACAACTGTTCTTTTAGATTCTTTACTTCTTGTGAACTCTTGTCAGACATTTGCTAAAAATATCAAAAAATATTTCAATTGTTTGTTAATTTGTTTTCTTAAAGGGATTGTAATCTTTAGACTGAGTACACTGATTGAATCAATTTACATCATTTCAATCAACGTAAAACTCCATTCATTTTCAATTTTCAATCAGACATTTGTGGTGCCTGCAATTCCATTAAAGTAAGTGTTTTAAAACATCACTATAGCAATAGGTCCATAGATATCATTAACAGCTTCAGCTATAGTGACGTTATCAAACGCTTAGTTTTAGGGGAATTGCAAAAACCACAGATATCTGATTGAAAATTGGAATGGTGTCCATTGATATCATCAGTGCCCCTGATACACATAAAAAGTTTAGAAAACCTCTTGGCAAAATGAGGATTTTAATCACACTAAAAGTTACAACTAACTGCGTGTAAGTGTTTCCAGGATAGTGCTCAACTATCAGATCAAATTAACTAACTCTATCTTACCTTTCCAACAAATGTTTTCTGAAAAAAAAAATATAAACAGGATTAAATTTTATTGATAAAAAAATAAACAACGAAATAAGATTCAAAATTAGTCAAAAGTTTACATTAGTAGAAGCCAATGAACTTTTCATATGAGGAAGTATATCAATTATAAGTGAGTAAATATTTCATAATGAAAAGTATTTGAATAAATTATATTAATAACCATATATACCTTTCTCTCCAGTCCTGCTGATTGTTGTTGTTGTTGATGTTGTTGATGTTCTCTCTTCTCAAGTTGACTTGTTAAATCTTTTATAGTTTTATCTTTCTCTGTTCTTACAGATTTTATCTTAGTCTGAAAACAAATTAAATCAAAAATTTCAAAAAAGTTAGGCAATTCATAATAAACAATTTCACTAAGTTTTAATCATTGAAATGAACTACTAGATTTTGGTATTTCAGCATAATAAGGGCTGTAACTCTTTGCAGAACCTAACCCACTTTTCATCCAATCAGCATTGGCTAAATTTGCTATGAAGTGTATACTTATTTCATTGAGAGTATATTAATCACGTGACATTTTGACTGACAGGTAATGTTAAGAAGAGTAAGTTTGAAGGTGATATTTAGTCTATTTTCTCTCCCCACCGCCATCTTATCACTAAAACATAACTAAACATGGTTTTACTATTTCAAAGATTTGTCAGGGATGGTAATAAACATACCCATTACATTTTCAGCAAACAGAAAATTAAAACTTCTTCTTGTCTGTTTAATGTGAAAATTGAAAGTTAATAAATTATTTACCTCGAGTTCTTTGTTTTTATTTTTATGTGTCTCTATATTTTGAGTAAATTGTTGTAGTTTTTTCTCTAATTCTGTTATTTTATTATCAAGGGTTGTTTTACTTGTTTTATAATTCTTTTTCTCTGTTTCTAGTAAAACCTGGAATTAAAATCATATCCTAGTCCAGCTTTGATAGGGATTTTATACTCATAGGCATAAGAAATGATGGGGCAGGGGGGTTGACCCGAAAAATATCGGGCAATAACCCGAAAACAAAGACAAATATACAGGTAAAATTCATGGGAAAATTTCAGGCAAACCAGCCTATTGAATGAATTGTGTTTTAAAACTTACAATAGTAGCTTGAAGATTTTGTATTTCTTTAGCTGAATCTACAGGAATATTAGATAATCTTTCTTTCTCTAATACTTCACTTCTTTTCTTTAATTCTTCAATTTCCTGAAATAAATCAACTCACACAGTTCAACATAGTTAAAGTGACGTAAACATTTTAAATAGTTTTGGTATTATAAAAATTAACAAGATAAGTTCAAACTTCCAAATCAGTTGCTCTATTGTTTTC